TCAGTAATCAAATGGTTTCTGGGTCGCAGTTAAAATCAGACACAGTGAGGCACAAAATTAGTTGGATTATCATGTCTTTCCATTATGCACTCTGCTCCTCCTTGGTAGGGATTCTGAAAACATATGACATATGCACTTTGATGTAGGCTTTGTGGGCTAAGGCACAAGGTGTTGAAAGGCCATCATCATGCCTTGGAACAGAAGATGGTTAAGAGGTCTTAGAGATGCACACTAAGAGATTCTGACAGCATCGTCAACCTAGAATTCACACTGGTTCAATAATACATCTGCGTAAAGCTGAAATACTTTTGATCCATTTAGTCACTTCCATCTGACCTGACTTATTTTTGTGCGACTAGAAATCACGATGTGAAAGTGAACAAATGGAGGCTCTATGAGGTCAATACACAGAGTGTTTCATCAGCAGAACCCATCAGTTCTAGCTTCCTATCCCCATCCCACAGCTGTCCCTTCCCCATGCACACACATTGGTATGCATTGCCACAGTACCTCAAATTATCAGGTTCTCAGATTAGACAGGATACCAATCCTGTGGAAATTTGTAATTTTTCTGCTTGTCCTTATTTTCCACCCTGAAAATATTGGGTAACTATTCCAAAACATGGAAGTCTCATCAACTGTAGCACAGGACTTGGACCTCATCAGGGCCATCCAGAACTTACTCCTTCCAAGAACTTAACTTCTGCAGGATTAATATGTATCAACTTGAATCTTACCCTACTTTCTGGGTAGGAGCTTTCTGTGCTATCCCGATTATATGCAATGCCAAGCCTTGCATGAGTGGTCATCTGAAGTCATACCCTTACTGTTGCACATCTGTGCTGTTCAGTTGAAGGTCATGAAATTTTGTTAATAATTAGCTACAGGAGGAGGAGCACACTCATTTTGATCCTCAGCTATTCACTATGCAGCTGTGATGAAGGGTCTCCTCTGTGTTCTCTGTTTTTCTTCTCTCTTTTACAGAAAGAAATCTGTTGTGAATGTCAGCTTCATTCACAACACATATCTAAGAGCTCACTAAACAGTCATTACAAAGTGATTGGAATTGTTGGATCGTTACTTGCATATATATACTGTGATACTTTTTGTAAGACCTACTTCGCTGCCAAGAAGAGACTCCCTGTTGCAAACACTGAGACTGATAACAGGCTAGACTGCCAAACCCATCCTGGCTGTCTTACAGCTGAACAGTTTCAGCTGAAATGACAGCGGCTTTTCTTTGAAAATAAAAATGACAGCACTCCCTGTCTTTTGTGAAGGCAAAGCTGCAACAAATCAAATCCAAGCAGTAACATGGGTTTTAACAAAAAACTTCTCACTGCAAATTCTGAGGCACTGTCTGAATGTCTGTCTTCTCCACAGCTTGTTGCTGACTGGCATATGCACGATAGCACTGAAATACCAAGCAGCATGAAGGTTCTATTTGTGCTGCATGTACAGTGCTGGTTTCAGTTTGACTGTAGTGAAAGAATTCCCTAAATCATATGTGGATTACTGCTGCTGCCTAGAGGGAGCTGTGGAAACAACAGATCAATTCTTTTTTTAGCCAATTAAACCCAGCAATGATATGTCAGTATAAAGCAGCAAGAAGTGTATTTTGATAAAAGGCAATTAGGAGGGGTGGCTGACACACTGGCAGATGCACCTTCCAATGAAAAGTCCAGGAAAAAGAAAAGTAGGGGTTTTTATTCCTTACATACACTTGTCTTTCAACAACTAAATATGTTTGCACTCCATCTTTGATTTTTTTAAAAGGCTAGCTACCTTCTTTTACCTTTATCCTCTGTGCTCTCTGTTTCCTCCTTCCAGATTCTCTTTGCATCTCCCTTCTCTACTATGGAAGAAACCCCAGGCTTTATTTGATGAAGTACTTTAGAGTTTACATTTTCCACCTATTATCTAAAGTTATTTAAGCTACATGGCAACATACACACAGCAACCTCAGGGAGAAATTACAAAGCTGTTTAAGGATACGGCAATGATTTAGGACAGAAAATGAAAGCCAAAAAATACTCTGAATAAACATTTACAGCAACTTGATCTGCTAAAATTCAGAACTACTCCACCTTCCCTCTGCTCCCTCCCTAAACCAACTTAAGCAATATATGCAGAAGTGTCTGGGATGTGAATATATTTCTTCTTTAGCTAACCAATTTTTAACATCAGTACCATCATCACACTTATCAAGCCATTTGTCAACTCTCTACACATACACAGAATTTTACTAGACACTAAATGTTTTAAGATTAAAAGTTATTCTAATCAGACAGACAAATTCAGTCCACAGAAAATATTATGTCAGAAATATTATTCCCAGCACTAATGCTTCGTCTTTGTTAAAGGCTCGAACAAAGTAAGCTCAGAAGGAGCGAGCTTCCATCCTGCAAAAATTCAAGCTTTCTGAAAAAAGGCAACCCAAGACAGAACAAAATCTACAAGCAATTTCCACAGGGTTAATTCTGACACATCCTTTTTAGAAATGCTTTACTTCCCGGAACACATTACCTGTTGAATCCGGACAGCCCACCCGGAGTCAGCCAGTTGTTCCTCCAAGAGGAAAGATCTGGATGAAATCCTCAGACGTCGGTATGGGAGGACACACAAGAAGCCCTATCTGCTGGGACCCTGTAGCAGGATTCCTAGGAGAAATGGGAATAAGCCTTTGAAAAAATCAGGAAGCCAGGTGGTTTAGCAGAAAAGACTGCCTTCCTTATTTTGCTAGTCCAAAACATATTCTCCATCACCAGCTGGGAAGGGTTTTTCTTTACCTTAGCATTAAATCCTGCCAGCTCTGGCACTTGTAAAGCAGGATCCCAACTCTCTGGGGATTCAAACATGTCTTCTGTTCCAGTACATCTAGAGGGCTTGTCCGCAGTACAAGTTCTGCTTCATTTGGCACCTCTAGCAAAGGAAAAGCATTTCTATCTTGACAGAATCACACATCTGTCCACATGTAACACATTTTTTCTGTTACAAGATTTTTTTTTTATTTTTACAATTTAATGATAGTCTTTGTTTTGGATTTGTTATTGAAATATACTTATCGAAATTAAACACTTGCTCTTTTCATAATTTCAGTAAATTTGTTTACAAAACTGAACTAAAAATGGAAACAAAAACTAGAAAGTGTAAACCAAATACACACAGCTATGTATTTTTTTAAAATAGTTATTACCAAAAGGCATTTTTAAATACCAGTTCACCAACATCCATCTTCAGACAGGGGGTTTTGACCTATGGAAGTAAATGGGCAACTCAGTATCATTTGTAATGCAAAGTGTTATTTTTCAATTATTTATTCTCTCTCAGGTCATGCAAGGACATGCACATTTATACTATGTAAAAAGACAAAATTGCACAGGCATTTCACAGAAAATAATTGGGGAAGTCTTCACTCTAAAGAAAAAGTCATCATAAAAACAATTTTCTGAATGTTATATATCCACATAGTTCAACTGCAGTTCATCTGACTGTACTATAGATGTCATTACATCTGAAAGGATTACAGTGGTTTTGGCATAATCCCAACAGTGGTGAAAAAAATAGTTTGAAAAAGAATGACATAGTCTGCTCTGAAAACAAGCAGCAAGACCTTCAGTCTCTAAAAGAGCATTTTAAAAACAAAAGTCCAGGTTAGAAAAAACAAAACATGAACTCCAAAGCCGATACAGTTTCAATCAAGTTGTAAGCAATGATGTGTAGCTGAAACTAAATGGGGATATACTGAAAGCTATGCTAATATCCCAAGATTCTTATCCTCTGATACCTCTGCAATTAAAATAATAAAGCCATAAAGAAATCAAACTGATAGAAAAAAAAATCAGAGATTTTTAAATATACTTGATTTTGCCTCCAAAATATTGTTGAAATACTTTGCTCATGCACAGCTGGGAGAGCACAATTAACCTTCACAATTACCATGTTCTCATCTTTCCTTACAGGGATGAAATACAGCTTTTTTTTGTGTTTCAACTTGAGTTTGCTACTAATTTGTCAGCATTCTGCTTTCCCTCCTCTTTTTAGGGTCCTTTCGAAAATATTTTGGCCAGAAAAACAGGCCATTCTTCCAAGCTGTTTTTCTCTTACACAGTATACAAGCTCAGACTGCAATGATCTTTTTTGGCAAAACATCATAATTTCTGATAGTTATTTATCCAGAATCATCTCCAAATCCTTTTCAAGATGACAAGTAAGGCAAATTTTAAGGAAAAAGCAGTACTGGGTTTTTTTTGACTTGCCTAAGTGTTGAGGGCTGGAGGGCAAGGAAAGTATTAGGGAATCCCCCCCACCTTGAGTATTAGGAAAATACTACTCCTGATGATTCTTGGTTTGCTATACCTTTACACCACTATAGCTAAAAGATTACTTCAGAATCACTGCATTCCAAAAGTCCAACCCCCACTACGGGCAGTATAGTCTATAGCTTACATTCTTTCCAATTATATTTAGAATTTCAAGTTCAAAATTTAGGTTTAAAAATAAAGCACAAGTCATGTCTCAAGATACTGCTTTTAGCCAAGAACTAAAAAGATATCACTTGCTTACAAGAAAGCAGTTCTGTCAAACCAGTTTCACTGATGAAGATGAAGCCTTTAGGATCAGCCAGCTGTCATCCAAGAACTCTGTATTTTACTTCTCAGTATTGTCTTGTATTTCCATTTACAGGACTAACATCCAGATGGCACAAGTTATTCAACCAATCTTGTCTCAAGACCTAAGTCTCAAATTACCATAGAGAGAAAATTTTTAAATAAATATAGAACTCTGGCCTCAAGATTAAAATGTGATTTTTTTTTTTTTATAACATTGTGATGATGTTAAATGGAAAGTCCACAAGGCAAACTCAACAAGTAGGTGACAGTGAAGTTACCTGCGTGTGATGAAAATAAATTCAGAAATTCGGCATTATTACGTAGTAGTCATTAAGCCCCATATATTAAACAAATGCACATGCAAGATAGTAAATGAACTGGCAAACATTTTTAAATAACATCTTTAATTAAAGTTTTTGCAAAGGCAAAATATTAAACTTAAAATAGGTCTTAGTACATCAAAATACTAAGTTCTCTAATCGTATTCCAAGCATGGCCTTTGAAACATAATATCCTGTATATCACAGAGGAGCAACCTTGATCTGCAATTGTACAGAATGAATTTTACAAACATAATAAATATATTTACCCCCTTACACATAACAGTATATGTACAACAGCAGTTGACAATAGTAGCTCAGAACAGCAAAAAAGGATATTCCCCCACTCCATAATCTATTGGTACCCTATGCACTCTGGAACATGTCTCATTGGATGACTGTACATATATAGCTAACCCAAGGTAGTCCTTCCTGTTAAAAAAAAGCTCCTTTTGTTCCACAATGTCAAGTCCACAAAATAATAATTAAAAGACACACTGCATGAACTGCCTGAAAAAAGTAGACAACAGGGAAACCAACAGACTGGTTTTTACACATTTCCCAACCAATCACAGCAATGAGAAAATGAGACTTTAAATGTGAGACACCAATACATAATAATATGCAAGTTTCTTCATCTTGTATAGTCACTGATCTCAAAGTCTGAAGAGAAATCTAATTTCAGTTGGGGGTGCATGGGTGGGGTGGAGTGGTACACAGCAAACCCCACGAAGCTGTGTAAGGCAGCCCAGTATCAATCCAGTGTGCGTTATCCTAAAACCACTGTTCACTTCCTGGACATCTTATTGCATTCTATGAAGAAGCTTTGCTTTCGGGAAAATTTGGGGGGGCTTTATTGTTTTTAAAGGAGCTTTTACAAATTGAAGAGATTGAATCAAAATGAACTTTAGTTAACAAGGTCTTTAACTCCTCCACTGGAATTAAGAAATTTTACTCTGGTAGTGTTATGTGGTGACATAATTACTGCTAACTGTCAAGCAGTGGAATTATTTTCACAGACTCAATGAAGTCTACTTTAACACTCCTAATTGTTCAGCAGAAATAGAAAAAACATTTATCAAAAAAATCCATTACACGACACAACGTGTTCTTTGCTCTTTTCTAGAAACTGTGCTTCAGAATCACGTATCATATTCTTGGAAATAAACTCGGACCACAATTATCACTTTAAATCATGTTTAGGAAACTGAATGATGTTCAAATGCAACCTGTGAGTACAATGCAGGAACAAGGAGTATGAAGCCTCAAAGAAATCTTGTCGCTAACCAGCAACTAAGGGGGAATAAAAACATATTTTATTTAAATAGTCCAATATAAAGTTCCTTATGTGACTAAATTCTCTATTATCTCCTTAAAAGAAAACATATTTCAATTTGTTTTCAACTTAGATGTTTTAAAATGATTGCACACACTAAAACCCAACAGAATTAGAGCAAAAAAGTTGCTTTTCTTATTGAAGCACTGCAGGAAATTTACTCTCTCAGAAATCAAAAAAAAAAGTATTGTCATACTGGCAAAACAGGTATTCTGCAAGCTGAAAAGGCACAAGACTCCCAATTTTGCCCAGTTGCTCTACAAGTTTCCACCAGCCATCATGGTTATAATTATGAAGTTATCTTTCCCCATTTTTTCCATCATAAAAAGGTGCTCCATTATCTGTGCAAATTTTAACATAAGCCCTCTTGAAATCATTAATTGTTTCCATAATACTGAACTATTTAAATGGGAAAAAAAAAAACTCAAACAACCAAAAAACCTATTTCCAAGGGGGGGCGGGGGAAATCATTTATGAACTATGAACATGGGAATCCCTTGCGCTCTGAAAGGAATGGTTTCTTTGGAACCTAATGAAATGGTCTGTTCAGTTACATTGTTAAAACCATGATTAAAAATTCAAGTACAATAATAAAATTAAGCAAACTACATTCTTACAGCAAGCTGCTACAATAAAATGAAATTAAAACATGCTTTTTGATTTAAAAAAAAGGAACACTTGATGTAGCAATAAGAGCACAGTTTGGTATGTTCATGTGTGACTGGCTTTCTGAAAACTTCACAGGTATTTGTATTTGAAGACAAAACTTCTTCTTTGAAAAGCATACCATACAATTAGCTTGCAATAGACTGTGCAAGTTCAGAAAGCTTCTAACATCCTTCAGAACAGGCTAAGCTTAAGTTATCTTTAAAGTCCTGCTATCCCTTAAAAATAAATAAAAAGGCTATGCAGCTTCTAGTATACATATGTGGGTGAAAAAAATCACTAAGATGTATGAAAACAAAGCATTGTACAAGTAATCTGGGTTCCAGTAGTATAAACAGGAATCTATAGCTAAAGGGATTTTTTTTCCTTTTATTGGTTTGGTTGTGCAGCGTTAACGGGAATTTTTCTGAAGTCTAATACTTAAGACTTGTTGGTAACAGATACGGAAAAGGTGAGGGAAGGAATTAGTTGGTACATTATTGATTTCATTGCAGTTGTACATAGAAGTGTCAACAGTGGTAAAAAATAAAAATATCTGCTTTGTTCAGAAGAAAGCAGACACCAATGAGGTTGAGATACCTTGAAGCCCCAAGCCAAAAATGCACTCTAAATTACAATTCCATTACTTAAGAATGAATTAGAAGAAACATCAATTAACTTTTCATAAAGTTATGTATGTAGATGGCTTACTAACAACCATATGGCTCTAGATATAGCCTACAGGCAGTTTTAGTCTGTATCAATGAGAGCACAGGTGTACAAAATCACAGCCAAAAAAACCCTCTTTACAATGTGTTTTGAGTTTTCTACATACTACTGAGATTATGAACGTACTCGGAGGCAAGTAAATCAGAGAGAATGAAAATTACTGCAGTCATTATATACTGCTAAAATACACTTGTGACTTTGTTAAATAATGTTTTAGAAGTTTAATTCTCAACCATAAAAAGGTCAGAAATCATGGTTCAAATGTCTGCTTCTGAAAGTCTTCCCAATTTAATTAAAATTATCTTTGCTGTGTCCTTTTTTTGTCATCTTTCTAAGCACCCGATGAAACATAAAATTTTTTTGAAATGGTAAGCCACATGAACATTCCTTCCACAACAGTTTCTGAAGTATAATGCCCATTCCCTCTCCTCGCTCAAAAGTAACTGCATTTCTGAAAGCACAGTTTGCAAGAATAATCTCTGCATGAAGAAAAGGTGTTCACTTCTCAGGAGAGGAAGGGAAGGAGGGGGGAGCAACCTTGTTGCTTTTCACAAAAAAAAAAAAAAAAAAAAAAAGAGAGAGAGAGAACAACAACAAAAAAACCCAAAACCCACCAACAAACAAACAACAAACAAAAAAAACCCCACAATAAAAAAATGCCACCACAAAAACCACACTTCTGGAAAAGGCAAGTGAAAAAGTGACTACACAAGGTTTAGTGCATCCAACTGCTTGATTTTCTGTTACCAAGACAGTCTAAAGATACTCTAACAAAATTTGTGTTCTCAAAGCTGTGCAGCTCTCTTCATGAAATTACATGCCACCTGGAAACTTTAGAGAGGTTAACTGCTGCAGGTAACTTATGGCTATACTTTTTAGTAAAGCAGATCTTCGATTAACAGAGTTGCAGCCAGAATGTTAGAATTTTTATGTGATTTTCTATATTAAAAATTCAGTCATTCTTGTGGTCTGCTGAATTATTCGTGGATGTCTGGACTACATGTGTAGTAAGCAGGTGAAGGAATGCATCTATTATGCCATTACCTACACATTTGATTCAAAAGGTCTCCAAAGCCTTTTTAAAAAAAAAGTTTTAAAAAAAAATAATCAATGGAAACTATATTATTCATTTCAACTCAGTGATGCTGAACCACCACCAAACAGCAAGAATATAATTAACAAGTTAAGCAATCTGACTTTCGTTGCAGGGAGCTACAGGTGCTTAGTATTTAAAAAATACAGCCCTAAATAAAAGGTATCACTTATACGAAATTAAAATAATTTTGAAATACAAATGATGATCATTTTACCATTTTGTAACTGCTAGGAACAACCACCTGTTTATGGGGAACTGAACTGAAAACAACAAATAGATATAATAATTAATGAGCATATCAGAATTAAAAATATTTTCCTTATACAAGTTATTTAAAATTTAACACCTTAATTCTTACCCTTCTGTACAAAGCTTGCACGCATTTTAAGTAACATTCTGACCATCCTCACTACCAAAAGGAAGTGTTCAAAGCAAAGATTTGTACACACAATAAGCATTTTCAGATTAATAATCTGTCAAAGGGAAGAGTTCCTTCAATCAGTGGAAGAAGTATTTAAAATCTTAAATCAAGGGAAGGGGGTGGGGTGGGAAGGGGAACAAAGCCTTACATGCTAAATACCAGCTGTAGGTACCTGTATGTAGAATTGATAATTAAGGTATTCCTAACACACAAAACCAGCTCCCAGACAATGCTATAGCTGCTACAGTCCATGGCTTGCTCATCTGAAGTAGTGTCTTTGTTGCCACATTTTACCTTTGTTCCAATACTTCTGTTTGTTTATTTCCGATGTGCAGATACACGTTTTGATTGGAGTATACGTCCAAGTCTCAACCTTTCCTGCTTTTGATTTTTTTTCCTTTTACAGGGAGTTTTTTTTTTGTTTTGTCTTTTAAAACTTCACCATTCTGCATCCCCAATGGCTTTGGAAAATACATAATCTCTTCCGTTAAGATTCATGATGCCATCTTTGAGATGAAATTTCCATTTGTTTTTACTTCTATGAATCTAAAAACAGGGAAAAAAGTTGAACTATTACTTTGCATCAGAAATAGGTAATAATGCCTAAGTAAATTACAAGGGCAAGAAAAAATGAAAATAACTATTGGGCATACATTACTAAATTACTACAAATTTCTTGAAAATCAATTCTGCATTTAGCTATGAAAAAAACCCCTAATTATGCATATAGCAGTATCTTCTGTTTTCATTTTTTAAACCAGGGACAGCAATTGTCACAAAACCACACAAGCACAGAGGCATTCCAAAATCCAAAGCTTATAGCACATTTTTAGAGGTGGTTGGAAAGGAAGAAGAGAGGTATATCCACCTGTGCTGCTTGAATTTGATTAAATCATCTTTGATTATGACAGCCGCAAAACTCCACTTGAAAGCCAGAAATCCCCATTTCAACCACTGTAACAGAAAGATTAACTAACATTTTAAACCAGCCCTGAAATAGTCAAACACCAAGTTTTATTATTTGCACCTCTTTTGCATGAAAACTAGTTTGATTATGTTACGTATAGATAGATAGCAGGCCTATTCAACTTTCTACTTCTAATATTAGAGCTTGACTCTGGGTTTCTGAAAGTTAAGTTTTGGTTAAAAGGCAAGTGAATTATTTACAAAGTTTTCAGTCTGAAAATCTCTATGGTACAAAACGCAAAAGATGATATAGAATATATGTACTAGTCTTATATTCTATAATTTCTCCTCAATGGTAAGTCATTGTATACAATTTACATCCCAATTCTCATTGTAAAGTGTCAAGTGAGAAAAGTAACATCTCCAGTATTGGGGATGATGGCATGAAGCTTCAACTTTAACCTATAGTCTTCCCAGTTAAAATATTGGCCCTTTTAAGGCTTTGTTTAAAAGAAATTTGTAAGATTAATCTGGGAGATCAGTCCAGTTATTTGCAACAACTCAACAAATACTAGGACAGGAAAAAAAAAAAATCATAGAATGGTTTGGGTTGGAAAAGACCTTGAAGATCATCTAGTTCTAACCCCCCTGCCATGGGCAGGGACACCTTCCACTAGATGAGGTTGCTCAAAGTCCCATCCAACTTGGCCTTGAACACTTCCAGGGATCGGGCTTCGACAATTTCTCTGGGCAACCTGCTCCAGTGTCTCACCACCCTCATAGTGAAAAAAATTTAAAAATTTAAAAACAAAAACAAACCAAAAAAAACCCCCACGCCATTCGTGCCATTCTTGCTCCCCAGGTAGTCAAAATTACAGGAGCCTGTGACATAATGGATCTTCAGGTTATAATGGATATTCCTGTTGACGTAGGATAAGACAAAGAATAAAACAACAGTTTTATTCATATTCTCTTTACAAAAATATTCCATACAGAACTCTTCTTTCTTCATGCCTATTCCCAAACAAATACTACCTGACTACAGGAAGCAGGCTGACCACGCGATGAAAGAGATCAGAGAAGATACAAGGACAAGAAATAGTTGTAGTATTGGAAGACTTTAATTATCTTATGCATACTGAGTAAACATCAATGTGCAGTACTGAGGCTGTTTAGATACTATACAGTCAAGACCTACTTCATGAAGAAGCTAAGTCAGGAACCCACAAACCACAGAACTCTTTTCTTGGTTCAAGACAGTGTGCAGGGCTTAAGTTGGAAAATATCACCAGAACTAACAGCAACTATGTAAGGCAAACATTTTCCCAGGGGTAATAAGAAGTCAATAAATCCACTAGAAGAGTGTGTAACTAAATTTATGTTCTTATGTTTAATTTAAAACTAAAGGAAACTGAACAAAATTCAGTCTAAAGGTAGAAGAGTAAATTTTGAAAAAAAATTTAAAAAAAACCAAAACCAAACCACCCCCCAAAAGCCCCCACATACTGTAAGCACAGAGCAGATAAATACCTGCCACCTATCAAAAAAGGGCATCAGAAAGAGCAAAAGACCACCAGTACAATTAAGCAGCAGGACAAGAAGATATTCAAAGAAAGCAAAGATCTTTCAGAAAGCTGAAATGCTTCCAAAAGAGAAAAGATTATCATAAATTTTGCAAACAAAACATAAAAATATAATTAGGCGATCTAAAAGTTAAGAAAATCTTACAAAAGGCATAAAAACAAGGAAGCCCCATTGCAATTTTTCAATTTCCATCAAGGACACAATGTCTCACCATCTATTACTACTAGTGCTGTAGAAACAAACAGTAAAGTAGCACCAGAACAGATATAACCATAGCACTCAATCAATTATTAGTACTATTGTTTGGTCTGTGCTCACTTTAAGCTAAAAAGCCAGTAGCAACAGAAAATAAATGAACAAGGAAAGGTCTGCCTTATATACTCTACTTGCCCTTCCAAATGGCATTCAATAAAAAACCCTCATCAGAAGCATTTGAGCTGCCATGAGGTAAGGAGGAAGGTCCTCGGATGAATAAATAACTGAATAAAGATGGGAAAACAAGGGTAAGAACACTCTTTTTACAGTGAAATTAGATCATTCCAGAAGAGATTTGTGCTGGCTGGAGTCTGCATGGTTTAAGAATTCACTAATCATCTGGAAAATGACATAACGTCACTGATGATACAAAAGAACAGTTACTGAAGAGCTGCAGAATTTTGTTACTTGCCCTAACTCACTGTGTAATAAAACAGTGGTGGCATTCAATGTATATGAAGGTAGTAACAATGGAAAAAACAATTCCAACTTACATGGAAAGAAAAAATGATGGGTTTGAGTTGACAATTACAAGTCAGGAATGAGATCCCAATGTTCTAAGACTTTTCCTTGAGAACATCAGCTCTGTGTTCAGTGGGGTCAAAAGCACACATGCAGAACATTGCTATACCACTTAATGAATTGAAGGTTCACCTGTGTTATGAATAGCTCTGATCCTCCCTCAACCTTACCTACTTGTATCAAATAAGAGACAGAAGAATAAAACAGATCTGGAGAATGAAAGTAAGAATAATCAAATGTTTAGACAGCTGCACAAGTAACAACCAAGCAAAGTGTAGCTCTGATTTCAAAGAGATGACTGAGGAGGCTTATGATGGTCTGCAATATCATAAAAGGCACCAAGAAAGCAGAGGAAACACTCTTCTAAATAAAGAACTAGGGTATCATATGAAACTAATTGGTTAAAAACTAGGTAATTCTCCACACATCACAGAATTCATTTATGAAACTTCTTGTCATAAGACAAAGTTTACAAGGATTCAAAAAATAATCAAATTAATTTCTGACAAATTAAGGAAAAAAAATCATCTACTGGCCACTTGATACAAAGCCACTATCTCTCCCTCAAGAGACAGTTCACGGAAGGATGGTAAAATGCTTTACATGAGCATGGCTACCTGTTTGCCCTTGTCTCATTGTTCCAGAGGCACCCACCATCAGCTGATGTAGGACACTGTGCAAGAGGGAACTCTAGTCAGAACAACTGAGTTGATCCTGTGTATTTTATAGAGACAAACTGAACAACAATTGTTTGATAAGTGATTAAGTCCTTTCAGAGCACGTGGCAGTAGAGGTTAATGATGGACGCTGTTCCCTACGGAGTTCATATTCTTAACTTTTAAGAGGGTGAGGATTTCAGAGTAGTTCCTGTTGTTCCTGTTGCTCAGCTTTAGCAACTCCCAACAAGCTTTTCTGACTGCTATTCTAAGGTCCTTCACTATCCTCACAAAATGCCTTGAAACTAACAGTTTTGGATTACAGTCTGGAGGGGACAGATGGCTTGGATGTAGATACTGATACCACTTCCCTCTATCTTAAATTCTTTGTTGAATCTGATGACAAGTCTAAGCAGAGTCTGGGCATAACTGAAGATTTTCTAACCAAGCCATTCCTCGCAATGTAGGAGTTTTTATTCAACGAGCTTACAGATTTTTTTTCTGCTTTAAAAAGGATCCTTATTCATCACAGTCCAATTCTTCTGGCATAGGAAAAGAAAGAAAATCTGAATTGAATAATCTTTCTACATACTATCTCAGTAAAAATTTGTCTGCTATCCTCTAGACACATTTAAAACAATTCCAGACATGGATGAGTCCTTGCATATTCCGGGGCAAATATGCAAGAAATTAGTCATTATAGAGTCGGCAAGACAGTTCAGCAGAATTTAAAGCAAAATAAGAAAAAGCATTCCACATTGCCATTTCAGTGAAGAACGCATAGCACAGAAAGAACCTTCTCCTCTGATAACTATTCTATCACCACGAACAGGTATTTTTAGTAATCAAGGAACAGGTTTCCACAAGTTTAAATCATAATGACTACTTCCTCCATTCACAGCCACAGCAAATGTACAAACTTACTTAAACTAGTTCACTTCTGAGCCCAGAGGACTGACCTTTTTTTAAAGGTCACAAAAAGACATGATGAAGAAAAAGAAAATGCAGCCAAATTTTTCTAAGCTTTACTCGTTACCAAGCTTAGTACAAACATGTCACACAAACCTGTTTTAAAAACAAATAGCTAATTATTGTATTACTGTTCACATTACAATCTTTACAGATCTACCTGTACTTAACAGTCACAAAGTTGTTACTTAAAAATTGTAACTTGATAGGAAGAAGAACAGAGAAAGTAGAATTCTTGGATTCTGTTCTGTAGAGATTACCTTATCATACTGGCACACAACAACATTTTCCGTATCGAACAGTTCTTGTCCTTCCTCATCACTCACATCATCTTCACTGTTAAGAGGCTCCTGAAAGAAACACATGCAAAAACTTATGCTGTTTAGTAAGATCAGAGCTGTTACTTTGATTATTCACACAAGGCTGCAGTCTTGTCTATGAAAAACTGGACCTAAAATGCATTTGAGGTGGGCAGTATTAGGCTTTCCAGTAGAGGGTTGATGGATATACTCTGCCTTCCTGCCCTTCATCCTGAGAAGAGATCCTGACCAATTTTATTCTGGAACTTCAGTGTCCAGGCCAGATTCTGGGCACTGTAGCCTTTTGTCACCACAACCATTCTTGCTCCTTTACTGTAAACATTCTGGTGCTTGCAATTTGTCTTTACAAAAAAGTTATTACGCAGATTTTCATTTTTCTAAAGCATTCAAGCAATGGAAAGGCGACGTTAGTCACGTCACTCCTTATGTGCCATTAAAAATAGAAACTCCATGACTTATTCACATTTGATGTACCACAAACAGAAACAACCCTCAACACATGCAGAAAGTTTTTACAGGAGGGGAAAAGATGCCTTCAGATGATCTTGCATACACACATACAAAATAACTTCTCCAGACTTTCTAGAATGTATTTTCATGTCCCTTAAAAATTACTTTCATTTTTTCCTCTTTCTGCTAACACTCTGTTCCAGCAGAAATCTGGTTTAGTTTTTTTTCATCTCATGTAAATAACAAACATTTCAAAAGCTAAAACAACCTTTAAATAAAGGCAAACCAACTTTTCTGAAGTCTTCTGTATAATCCTCATTTCCCACCTACTCCCAAATATGTAAGCTAAACAGGGGAGATGCTAGTGAGAGAAGAAAAAGGTGTACTAGAGGTCTTAATTCCTTCCAAAGTAATGCCATATTTAAGTGATTTCAAAAGCTTTAAGGAACTGGTCCACTCATTAAGTAACTGGTGATGAACAAAGGTAGCAAAAATAACAGGGGATCTCTGGCATGCTGGTAATAAAGTCTTGGCATATAAAAAAATTTCCACAAGAACGTTAGCATTAAGGCACTATTAAAGAACACTTAATATATAAGCATGATGACCTATACTTAGTAAGGCAACTATTAAAACATTCAAATGGACATCAATGCTGATCAATATAATGGAAAAGTGATGTGAACCCAACCTGTAAATTGTAACAGAAAAATACTGTTAGACACCACTGTAGATGTACTACAGAAAACCTGATTTAACTCCTTGACAAAAATTAGAAGTTTTACCTGCATATACTGCATGGGTGATACAGACTATGAAATGCTACTCCTCCTATTAAATGCATTTTAAATGGATTCTTAAAATAATTGCAGAGAACTGTGGAAGTGATCTGACAGTTCAAAATGCTGGTATAGTTTTAACTATAGATTTAGGGAGTACAAGGTTTCCTGTCAGAGACTGAAATAACAGAACTTTTAGCTTATTAGTATCCCCCTGACCCCTTTTTTTTTTAATTTCTTATTCTTGTGGGGCTTTTTGGTACAATGCATCAAAACTTAGTAAGAACCACTGGCTCAAGTCTGAAACCAAGCAAATTCAAAGTCTAAATTAAGCACATATTGTTAAGAATGCAACAAGTTACAATGAATATTCACTCTTGCTCCTATCTCCTGATTTCATTACATCAAGGTCAGATGTGTTTCTAGAAGGTGCTTATAATCAAATTTGAGTTCTCAGGCTTGTTGTAGTGTAACAGAAAGCGATGGAATAGTCAGTAAAGTACAGGTCAGATCACATCTATTGGTCCCCTCAGTGATCTAAATACATGGTCTCCTTTTTGTCAATCTTCCTAACACCTTGCTTTTTTATGCACTCAGTCCCAAGTGGAGCTGACTATTTCTGTTTGCTTATGAGGGTTTCATAATTTCATGGCTGACCTCTCCATAACATCAGAAATATTACCAAAGTTTTTAAAAGGGCATTCATGAGAATTAACAGTTTTTGCAGAGTCTCCCACCCTCCTCAGTTGCATTTCAAGGTGCTTTGCTAATATACACAGTTTTCACAACTTCAACATGGGAAATAAAGAACTTGAAGTACATGGATAAAAGATATATTCTTAAAATTATTGGAATACAGTATTATTTGAAGCATATAGTTTTCTTTCAAACATTGCAAAAAAAATGGAAATGAAACACAAGCATGCTCCAGCCTTTTGAAATAATGTTAACTTTACCTCTTCGACTTGGCCATCTTCACCCCCATCTTTTTCTTTGTCTTCCTCTTCATCATCATCATAATCTTCTTCCTCATCTTCTTCTTCTTCCGACGATGTGTCCCCTGCTCCATCAACTTGGAGAACAAGTGGTGCTTGTGGTTGTGCCTGTTGTTGTTGTGGTTGCTGCTGACCAGCTGCAGGAATCTGTGCTTGAGCTGGTGTAGGGGCAGCCACTGTTGTAGGTATGACTTGTGTTTTATTTCCTGTAAACAGGATCTGCTGGGGCTGAATAATCACTCCTGTCTGCTGGGAAATCCCTCCAGGGATAGGAGCCAAAACCTGATGGAATATCATTGCAAGTACTGTGGCTGCTAACGTAACAGACTACCACATCACTTACAGAAAACAATTAAAGCATATCAATTTGACTTGCATTAATTAGAGAAACAAGAGTTACAAATATTCAACCTATACCAGATATATAATTTAATCTTCAATAACATACCTTCTTTCACTACTCAGTGTTCCATTTCCTGCATTTTGCATTGCTAAATCTAAGAAAACCTACTGTCTTTCCATTCTAAAACGCTAGCACTACCGCCACACCTGAGTTTCAAACACAGCAGAGGATGTTTAAACTCAAGTAAAAGATTCTTTTTAAACCTTCTCTATAAAACATTTAACTTTAAACTCTTTACAAATTGTTATTGATGCTTAAACTACAGAACTCTGACACAATGCTAAATTCAATGCTTACAATCTGGACACACAGCTGACCTTGTAGATGAACAAAAATCCTTGTAAAATATACTGTGTTCACTACTAAAATAACCAAGGGGGGGGGGGGGGGGGGTGTTTGCTTTAGGTATTTTCTTCTATGTTATGTGACACACAATTATTTTAACCAATAAACACATTTTTAAAAGGATGTAGACTAGGATTACGCACATAATATAATTGTCATCAGGGGACACACAAAAGAGATTTTAAACTGCAGCCAGTCAGAATTTGGCTAGAATAAAGGTGGCATTGAAAACAACATTTCAAAATTGTTCATTTTTAAAAAACACGCTTCTTAACACAACTATTTTTTTTTTTAATATACCATTTCTGACTCTGTGTTCTATTTCAATTTGCACACAAAAATGCAAGCCTCTTTAGTAATTACTATAATTTTTTCTCTTTCAAGTGTACCTATTCAAAAAATTCTCCTTACCTGCTGTATAACAGGTGCTTGTACTCCACCAGGCTGCATTTGTGGTATGACCTGCTGCTGTAGAACAACCGGTTGCTGTGGTTGAATGATATACTGAGCTCCATTTGCAGTTCTAACCACTTGGAGGATCTGGCCTTTAATAAAGTAAGTATCAAATTAATCAAATGTAGGAATTCACTTTTAAAATTATCTTAGTTTAGAAGCTTGCTTTCTGGAAGAACACCAATGACAATTAAAGTAGAGCATTTATGTTTCAGTTTCACCAGTGAAAAGATACTATGCTATAGCAGCTGTGTTGGAAGCAAAGAGCTAATAGGGTCGTTTACCATCTAAATATGATCATGAGGTATGCAATCCAAAAATAAATTTACATATGCAAGCCAAAGTCTAATCCTTTAACACAGCACAGTATTTTAAATATTAGCTCCCTCTTATGAACATACCTCATGTTTCAAAGGACAGATTTTACAGATAGAAAGACAAATGAACATATACCAAAACAGGAATACAGGTTTCACACCACAAAAACTCTATCCACTGCTAACACTGTGGTATTTCCAGGGTTCTGTCAGATGATATCCTTTGCTCAGACTCTTTTCCCTCCAATTACCACATTACAAGAGATTCCTCTACACATAACTTTCTTTGCAGTATTATTGTGCAGTTGCCTTTTTGAAAAATCTATCCTTACACTTATTATCCACCTCTCCTTTCTGTTCCCGCAATGCCTGTACTTGATTTTCTTTTATTATCCTATACTTTTCTTCACTTCACAAAATACGTCTAAGATTCCCACACCTTTGGAGATGGCCTCCAGCTCTGAAAAGCAAGAACTAAGATATAGTCCAACATTAGTTTCTCACATTTCTGATCAGAAAGATAGAGAAGAAATTAAATTAGATAATCCTGAACTTCATACATTTCCCTCAAAAACTGATTTTATTTCCTGTTCTCCCTCCACAGCAAAATGCAAAGCCCTATTTACTGAAATAACTAAGTATAGCTGAAGGGGCTACCCTAGCCCCTTTTTTAAGAAAACATACTGTAAATATTTGTAACTGAAGAAAAAAAAAAATTATGACCATAACAAACGTGAGCCACAGTTTATTCTATGCTATAACAAACATAGGTGTGCTTCCTTAAAAATTGGAAAGATTTGAATTTCTAGAACAGCTACACATTTAAATTTTATTTCAACCATATATCCATTAAACATTCAAATGTTTAAAGCAGGGAGGTTAAGTCCCAGGTGATTCTGAGCAGACTAGATAATTCTCTGGCAAAAGCAGCAACTGATTCTAGAGAATGAGCTTTCTCAGATCTTCCTTTACTCTCCATGCAGAATGGATCTAGAATCAAGCTTATAAAATCAGCGTAATACAAAAGTACATGAAGCATAAGATATGCTGTTCATAAAAGTAACATTTAATTATGTTCTAAATGTACAGCATGACAGTGTTGAAAAATGACAAATCTAAATTAAATTAGCATTGCCAGCAAAATCAGAAATTCCACCATGTGTGCTTAGCAGGTATGAGAAACCTTAAGACATTCCTCATCTGAAGTCGCAAATGAAGTCATCCTGCTCTTTCATAACCAGTCTAGTATCTGTGCTCAGATCATGCATCACAAAGCTCAGAAATACACAAAGGGCAGAGACAGCAATGCCCGTCGTCTTGCTTCGTGCACTTCTCTAAAAAGTGGGGAAAACTTGCACAGAATCTAATCCACACCGCTGTTAGGTAAGAACCACAAGGTTCTTAAGACTAGCAAGCCAGTAAGGAAAAGAATCCAGGAGTCCAGTGAAGAGACTGCACTACCTTGTAAGGGTAGATTCCCACGTTCTGCTTTTTAACAATGTATAGCAGAGAGTAAAACCCCAAATTTCTCCCTCCCAAGCACCCTCAAAACCATTGTTTGATCTCAATATTAAGACAGTCACCTGAATTTGTAAGTATCTGCTGAACAGGAGTAACGCCAGCAGGGAGAGCCAACGTAGCTGCAGTGGCTGCAGCACTCTGAAATACAAGAAAAGCTTTTTAACCACAGACATTACTGCCAGTGTTACATCTCACAACATACTGCCTGAAAATATGTACCTTTTTATTGCTGTTTACAATGTTTGCACACAAGTTTCTGCAGCTGTTGAAATGCAGGCATTAATCAACTGCACATTATACTATATATAAAAATTATTTTCCTTCTTCCTTAATAGGAATGAGACTGAAGCAACAATCACTAAGCATCACACCTTAACCCAGCTCCACATGGTTTCTTGGTTCATCTGCAAGCTCAGCAGATTTTTTTCTCCTCTGCCTTCTCTGCTGATTTACTAATAGAGTACAACACTGCATTGCTCATGTAGCAATCTTACTTACACTTTTTCAAAGCAGCTAAAGATATGGGCCTACAAATCTGAAGAAACATAAGGTACTGAAGCAATGATCATGTTTGCCTGTCTTGTTTTCACGAGGAGTAGTAATCAGGTTTGCACTTTTCTTCATTCTGAAAATGATTTGCATTTCAAGTCCCGCATAACACAGCTCTTTTGAGTGAACATACGCATACAGTGTACTGACTGTTCACAGAATGACTAATTTTTTCTCTCAAGACAGCTGGTTAGAAGAGAAAGCTGAAGACTCCCAATGGGTAACGATTTGAACTTACAAGGAAACTGAATTCCAACACAATTACAGGAGCTCCAAACGCAAAAATCCGCATTAAGTCCTTAACTTGCAGAGGGAGATGGACTTCTCCAGAGACCTCTCCATTTCAAGGGTCTAACTTCAGCTGCCTACAGAAAAGCCTCCCTTTCCCCACTATAAAGGAACCATGGCCAATTACTCTCTACTACTGAAAGGATTTAAACTTTATTACTGGGTAGAGTGCATGCCTCCTGTTTATAAGATGTATGATCAACCCATATTGGCTGGGCAATATAGTAGTTACAACTGCCAAAATTAGAGATCACCATGCAAAACTGAAAAGTGCTTGTCTGCATCCTCACGTCCCAAAGGCAGATGAATAAACTCTCATTACTCTCTGCCCTTCAAGATATTCAAGGTCTGTCAGATCCGTTCTTTAATACCAACTTAAATGTTTCCAATAAACACACACAATAATTACAGATCGATTCCGTAACTATTTACTGAACAGTAGTCTTCTGCAGTATACAATTCATTTACATTTTGACAGCAGCAGTTTTAAAAGCATGGCATACTAATTTTTGCAATACCCATCACCAAGACCTAACTGAATGAGACAGAAAAAAATATTTAACTGTTGGACTTGGGAAGTTATAAATCACATCGAAATGGTTGTAAAACATGAAAGAAAAAGGCAGGTGTTAATGTGCTCTCAGCCTCTGGGTAAATCAGGCTATTTGAGTAACAAAGTTCAGGTTCTTTTCTATAGTAAGGTCAGCAGATAATGCAGAAGTGAAGGCTAAGCAAGTTGCTGCAGCTTTGACTAATCATGAAACTGTTTCATGTGCCTTTACCATAAAAGCGGTAAGAATGTAATGAATTCTGGTCTTAATACACATATTTAACTTTTATTAGCTGTTGTTTTCATCGCTTTGCAAGTAATTTTTTTTTTAATTAAGCCAGGGCTTTTAAAGCAAGATAAGATAACCAAAATTAACCTCTAGAGATAAAAACCGCAAGAAAAGGGTAACTGACCAGACTCAGTTTTATAAGCTATTACAAAATTAGTGAATCAAATTAACATGATCAGAAAAGATTGATGTGAATTGCTAAATAATCTCTCTTTTGATATAAGCTTAAGTTTCAGAGTAGTTAATGTTTCTTCCTGCATCTAACAAATACAGTATGCTTGCATCAGTTAATAGGGTTGTATTGGTATATGACGAGTACATCATGGTGCAGATTCATACCAACAGTACTCCAATTTCTGATTAAAAAAAAGTTTTGTTTAAACACATCTAAAGCGGAGGATCAAGGTACGTCCTGGATTTGTTATCAAAACTGAAGTGCTGGATTACTACCTCTAGATTGTCAGTGCAGCAGCAAAACTCAGAAACATGGTAGACAGCTTTACCAGTGTGTCCTAAATTACTTTTAAGCATCTGATGAATAATACCAGATTTGTGTTTACTATTTAATCAAAACAACTTACATAATGACAGTGTATGCATGTATAAACTTCTCCTTTTCTTACCATGCCCGACGCATTCATGTGCGGTATCAGCTTGGAATCTGGCACAATAACCTGCTGCTGAGGTGCTAGAAAGAAAAAAAATAGCATTTCATGAAAACTACGCAGTCTGCCCAAAATAACACCCAAGCCAGAGTAACTTAGAAAGAACATCACCCAAAAATCAGCTGAGCTTCATAACAAAAACGGCTACTAAGCAGTCTCTGATCTTAGTAAGTTTTACTCTCAAGACAATATACCACAGCAGCTCTGAGAGGCAATATGGCTATTTTGTCTTTACAGATCTTATTCCAAGGGCTTCAGCTACCTATTCTGACCCTAGGTACAGCAAGATTTAAATTACATCTTTGAAACTGAAGGTATTAGTGAAATGTTGATAAGCTTAAATCTTAAAACAGACTTAAGCAAGGATTGTTGCAAGATGAAAAGTGTGTTAACAGGATGCAGCAGTTAGCTTGAGTTAGGTCTAGTTAGCATAGCTGTTAGCATAAGCTTATGATCTTCACTGTCTTTCTAATGTAGCAGAAGCAGATAAGATATGAACAACCACCTGTCCCAAACAACAAAATAGTTTTGGTGTGCTAAAGAAAACAGATAGCTAAACTATGCAATCAACCTGCTGTTCACCTAGGAGTGCAAAAGTGCCCAAGTCTATGAAACAAGCAGGTTCCCAGTACTAGTGCCAGTGCCAGTAAATTGGAAAATGACAGAGCAATTTTAACAAACTAATCATCAACAAGGTATTCTCCATCCAATCCTATAACCAAGGACACTTAAGAATACTGGAGGTAACAGAGTTTCTTGAAAAGATTCTGGGGAGGGAAGCCCCACAACCTTGCACCAAGATCTGAGGCCATCTCTCCAACTTTCAGGGAACCCAGGGAGGGCAAAAGAGCCAAAGGAAATCTTGTGACCCTGTGCTAGGACCACACACAGGACAGCAGGAATCACCATGCCAATCATCCTGATCACAACAGGTTGTTCAAGGAACTATTACACCATCTCGCCCATGGAACAGGCAAGTAATTCATAAAACTGCATGTCTTTGATTAACATGCTTTGATACCCTAATTTCTTTTAGCCTCCACACTGTCATTTGGTCATAAGCCATAATATTGGGCAACAATGAATCAGTTTTAAGTGTACGACTATAGGCAGAAGCTTATTCTACCCTAAGACAGAAACAGGAAGACATGGACCTCCATATTAGTGGAGGGAAATCTGGTCAGTAGAGTCACAGCTATTCAGCTAAGGAGCCACTAGAGGTCTTGGTGACTAGACTTTCCAGGCTCTGCTGACTGTAACTTAAGCAGACACCCAGATCATTTGAAACCCCATGTATTTAGGGGTCTTAATCTCAAAATTAATTTTACCCGAACAGTCAAAACTGATTTATGTCCAGCCAAAATGCAAAGTACTAGAAGAAGAAGAAGAAAAAAAAAAACCAAACAAACCCCAACAACAAACAAACAAACCAACCGACCCACCCCCAAAACCCCACAAAAAAGCACCACCAACAGGTTCTTGTCACACTAGTTCTCTTCTGTTTTGAATATATGGAGGTTGGGTTTTGGGGAGTGGGCTGGGAATCAACTCATAACTATCACACCCATAACAACATAGGTTCTGATCCATGAAATCCAATAAAAAGACTGAAGTCTGCGACTGACTACCACAGATAAATATGTTTTGCCACAATTTTAATAGCACACTGAAAACTCAAGCATTTCACAGGTGGCAGATTTGTTTACACAGCATATATGCAGTAAAATCCATTAGTATTTATCTTACTTTTCAAATAAAATTGTAAGTGGTGAAAATGTTTCTCTTAAATTATTAATGCAGAATACACAAGACAATAATTACAAGAAACTATACTGTTACGGCTAGCTAAAATATACCTTGAACATCCACACCTACAGAGCATGCAATCTTTTAAGACCACAAAAATACTCAGCCATTATGCTTTTCACTTGAAGCTTGTTCTAAGATGAAAAATCATCTCCTACATATACTCAGACTGTTACACCACTATTTTTCACATCCTAGCATCCACTTATGCTAAACAATAACATATTTTTTAAAATTAATTTGTTCCTAATGACATTACTACCTCATGACTAAATTGTCAACTGCGTATGTATATTGACTTGAAATTACAAAGCTGCTAATGGATTTCTGACAGAATCTGCAAGTCATGTAATCTGAAAACATGAAGACAAAGAGAAGAATTCAGCTTTTCCAAAATCTTCTGAAGACTATAACTGACACAATTACGAAGATACTTTTTGCCAAGACAGCTCTCTTGACCCATTAAATAGAGGCAAGTAGAGACAAAGTTTAACATAAAGACACAAAGTTATCCATCAGATAAACATCCTGCCCTAGATTTAGAATATGTAAAGGAGTTCATCTAGCTTGAGAGTCTTTTGCCAGAGAGATTAGAGAGTAAGTCTGACCTTGCTGAGACGCTGGAATAAGGACCTGTTGTGGCTGAGACTGCTGCTGCACAGTCTGCTGTGGCTGAGGTTGTGTGTGATGGTGGTGGTGATGATGCTGCTGTTGCTGCTGTTGCTGTTGCTGCTGTTGCACCTGCAACAAAAGCTGCTGCTCTTCTGAATGGAAGCCATCTACAGCCTTGGACTGCATCAGCTTGTTCTCCCACAGCTAGTTTGGAAAAGGAAAGAGAAATCTCTGTGTATGATTTTTACTCAGCAGGATTTCTAACAATATAAAGACAGTACTCAAAAATCAAATTTGTTTTCACTGTTTATCTTCTGCAGTCTACTTAGCCCAAAAAGCCCTTGGGCAAATACAGACTGAAGAGATAACTCCACAGAGGTAATGTTTTAAGAAGAGGAATTAAATATCCTTTAAGAATTGTCAGTCCAAGCTCAAGCTTTAACATTCTTACAAGTGTGGAAGATTCGTAACAACCCTAACAGAAGCATAAATAGAGATAAACTGGTAACTTTAAATTAGCCTTCAAGTTTTCACTTCTCTATCCTTTCTTTCTTACCTCTTTAATCACAAAAATAATTCTTTATTACAGCTTTCCTCAAGCCATTTCTTCTTGGAACTGCTCAATAAAAGTTGCTTAAAGACTATTGCCTCATAACACACTTCAACAGATACTACCAGTATACCTAAGATAATGCCTCTGTACAAGCATTCACACAGTTTCTACCACAATATCAAATTCAGCTTCTCCAGCCCCTCAGTTCTTGATGTCAGCTGACATCTCCAAAGAAAAGCCATAGATGCAAAAAAAAAAAAAAAGCAGCTCTTGCAAAAAGACAGCAACGCAAGTATTCCATAATACATAGAGTCAAAAACACTACAGGTACCCAGAACTCCTGATTTCAAATCCCGCTTAAGGGTCCCAAAGCCTTCACCTTCAATACTTCGTTTTCCTTCTTGTGTCTTTCCTCATTCAATCTTTTCTGACATCGTTTGCGGAACACATCTGTGACACAAACACCAAGGTGCTTTTCTTATAGCACTCAGCCCATTTCCACCAAGCCAGGTCATGGTTTCATGGAAAAAAGTCTTCACCTGTTTCTGTCTAGCCAAACTCAAAATTTCTTTCCCTCTCCATCCATTTTTTAATACTTTAAAAATACCGAGAGTTCGGGACGTCCCGCTTTCTGAAGAATTCCTTACACAAGAGCTGAGATAAGAAGGCACCTACTTTCCCAGTTTCCTTTTACTTTATTTCTTCTTTTTTTTTTTTTTTTCTGCCTTTTCCCTTTTAAAGTGTTTCTTTTACTCAAGAAGAATTTGAAGAAAGCCATAGGAGACCCATTAGAGCTCAGGTCAACATCTTGCCTTTCTTTTGGACCCTCGGTAACAGTTCAAACCCACCGTATGTAAAAAAATTCTGCATCTGAGAGCTTCAGCAAAGTGTGATGGACACAGTACAATTCATTATGTACCGCTCCTCAAAACCAATACTTCTGCAAACCACAAACCAAAAATCTGACAATGCATCTAACAACGCAACTCCTCTTTTTCAGGAAGACAAAAACATCAAGCAGAGCAGGCGTTTTATTTTTCCTGCAGAGAAACCTTAAGAATTGTCTAACTCTAAAATAAATATATTCTCCCCTTTCTTTTTTAAAGATAAAACGTTTCAGGGACCAAAATAACACTGTGAATTCAGATGCCTGCTGTTTATGTCAAGTTTGACATGCCAGATTAGGGAAAGTAAACAAGGTGAGCAGATCTCTCCATACAGCAGCGTAATTCAAATGATATGGGGCTACAGATATGCAGATTAATACAATGCTTGGCTAACTAAAAATTAGTATTTTTACTGTGCACAACAGCAAGCAGATATGAAAACCAATTGCTGTACTGGTCTACCAAAAAAACCTTTTAAGTCGCAACTTACTGTTTTGAGTTCCATAAGAACTTGTTCATCCACTCCTTCATCCAGAAAAACCTCTCTGACATCATTGATGACATCTTCAATTACAGACCTGTACAATTTAGGCTTTAAAAAAAGAAAAGGTAACTAGTCAGTGTTGTTTCGAAAGAAATTTATCACTTAATGTTAAAATAAGATTTTCCCCAACAAAAAAAATCTCTGAAAACTGCATTACAGAATACACTGCATGTTTCCCAGTGACTAAAATATCCAAGGAGGTATAAATCAGCAAGAACAGCTCAAATAAGGTGAAAAGGGAAAGGACTGCTCACTATCTTTTGTGACATATCCATGGCACAAGAGTTTTCAAGCCACAAGGAGTGTAATTCAAAACAGAGAAAAGAAGATTGTTTTCCATTCCCTAAATTTGTTTCCTGCTTGCCAATGTACATACTGAATATGCAAAAACATTTGCACACGTGCAAAATATTCACGTCAAAGAACATTAAAAGTTCAAAAGGATATTAGATAAATACAGAGAAGAGAAACTTGTTAGCACTTGCTAGTTCAACAGGAACGAAATATGGCTCAGAATGATCCCTAGCTGAAAAAAATGTTGAAGGCTCAAAAAACTGGAAGCATTCATGTGAATGTCCTGTTCTTCCTTACACATCTGTTTACAGAAACTATTGAAGACAGGTTATTAGGCTAGACAGACTTCTGTTTTCAATCAGTACTTATGTTTTTGCATTAGAAATTTTTCAGGTGGAAATACTACACATACCTTCTTATTCTGTTACACTGATTTCATGCCTAAACTGTCAATGATAAAGTGAATTGTCAATTCACTTTAGGTTGCCAAAAGAAGTTGTGGGGTCTCCATCCCTGGAGATACTCAAAAGCCATCCAGACATGATCCTGGGCAACCGGCTCTAGGTGACCCTGCTTGTGAAAGTGGGTTGCAAGATAACCTCCAGAGGTCCCTTCCAACCTCAACCATTTTATGAATTTTAAAATGCAGGTACAATTTTAGAAAGAGAATATAAATACTTAACCTTATCAATTAAAGCACAAAATTTAATTCATAGGACCATAGGATAATTGTACTATGCACATGCTGTACCTTTTAAACAGTACAGCTTGGACCTCTCTACATACATGTGAACTTCAACGTTATTTTGGCTGGATTTTAAATATCTGTGCTATCTAACTGCAAGGTAGCACCACGAGCTCTAAATAGGGTTGATCAGTCTCCAGCCTGTGAATAATACGTACTTCACTGACCAAGGCTGTTCCTTGGGCTGACGGTAGACCATTTTTAAACTGATCTGAAAGCGGCTACAACTTTCTGTAAGCTGACACCTTCCTCCACCCCCCGTTCCGTGACTTCCTTAAGCAATAAATCCCAAATGATGCAGATTATCATTCTGTGCTTGTGCAGTGGGTTTGGCACCCCAGGAGTGCTGTGACTCCAATACACACACAGAAAACCTGCACCAAGCACATGCAGTGCTGGAACTACACAAATTTAATGCACACACTTGAAACATTTATTTTACGCATACGCAGTTGCTTAATGCATCCCAGAAGTGTTGAATTTGTTACAGATATGCTAAAGATTATATGGCACACATGTTACGGAATTGTTATGCCTATGTTATGGAATAATGGAGGGGGAATGGCAGCACATGATTTATTAGTCCAGGGGAAAAAAAAAAAAAAAGGCAAAAAAAAAAAACCCAAAAAAACCCAACAAACCACTCTGTGTTATTGACCACACATTGATATTTTGGCAAATGGCACACTATCAGCACCCTATTTTTTTCTTCATTTTACATTTCATCGGTTTGCCACTTTTCAGCTTTAAAACATGCTGCTGCAAATCAAGTAGCTGAAATATTAGAATTCATCCTTTTGTTACTTCTCTTCAAAAAAATTTCTGGCCTCAAGCAACAGGGTAAGTTTTCCATCCTTGAAAACCACATTTACAGCACCTGTGTCAAAAACTTAACTTCTCCAAAAGACACAAAACATACCAGACTACTTGCAGATTTTTTTCTTTCAAAACAATACTGCATGCTCACATATCCAGGCTTCAAGTACAGCATTAATTGTGCTTATAGAGACATTTGAAACAGACTGTCAAAGCCAGACTACTCTTGAGCACTAGTATTTTAAATCTGCATAGTGAGGAACTTAAAAATACCAAGCATCATTAACAGGACTATTTTTCCACTTAGATTTAACTCACAGCAGATGCAAAAAAACATTCTACTTAATAACATTAAGTCCTATTATTTCTATAATTAAACAAATTGCATAAAGCTTATACGATTCAACTAGCACAGCAATGCTACTTAACCTATTCTGTTTATTGTTCCTTACTTTATTAAAAGCATCTGTTTCTTAATGCCAAAAGCACATTCTGCAAATAAACATGCTTAACCTCTGGCATGCAAGTTACTGTACTTAAGTCAAGTGAGCTACCTGTACGTCTGAAATTACAATCAGAATTCCTGCAGCATGGAGATTGCTTTTTCGCCTTAAATCCTCCTCTCCTTAAATCATCTATTAGGTCCACTTTTTTCTAATAAAACACATTTTACAGAAACAGGCCCTAATAATTTCCACTAGCAGTTTCCTCCTCCTATCTCCACAGTCAGGCATTTTTGTAAGGTTTATTCACAAAGCCTCCTCAGTCTATAAAGCCCTAGGAAAAAACGTCAGCATTCACATCCAACAAACTGACCCTACAGCCCAACAGTCTGCTTGGGAATGTTTCCTTTTTCCGCTGTGTAGTGAGGGAAAAAAAAATTTCAAACAGCAGGATACTGGTTTCTAGTGTCCAGCATTAGTTTAGCAACAGAGCAGAAAGGCAGGTTAAGAGCACTGATGTTCACTCCTGCGTTGACACAGCGTCCTTCTGCACAACTTCCAACAGCCCAACCAAGCAGCTAAGCCCCCCAACAGACAGCAGGACCACAGGGGTGCAGTGAGCCTAGTACCATGCAGGTTAACGAACACACAAGCAGTTTGTACATGCATGAATCTCTCTGCATGAGCCACACAGTGCGCTGGATCTAAGATGGGTCAGAATTTTTGGACACTGTTCTGATCACACAGTATCACAATGTATGATACACTCATGGCTGTATGATTAGAAGGAAGGGAACAGAGAAGGAAGTATCCGCATACTTATGATGAAACAATGTCTGCCTGATTTTACCTATACATGTTTACATAATACTCAGAAAAATCCTGTCCAGTTGAAAACTTTCTCTTGTGTACACTCCTACTGAACATCCATCCAGCCCAGGTGGATGCAACGCCTTCCACAGTGGCAGCAGCAATGCCTTCAAGAACCATCCATAGTGGAATTTTGAAGAATAACACAGACTGCTCTTTTCCTACCTCAACAGAGGCAAATCCAGTAAAATGACAAAACAGCCTTAAGCCCTGGTCTTTAAAAGGAAGCACATTGTATTGTTTTAGATATACACTAAGTGTCAGCTTTAAGCATTATTTATATGATGCTCAAGCTGTTTATACGAACCACCTAGGACTCTGGAGTTGAATGACAAAATTATTTTCATACACTGTTTACTCAAAAAATAAACATGAGAATACAATTACTGAACAAGTCTAAAGATGCGATAGCAGGTGAGTTAAGCTTTCCAATAAATTTCCACGTTCAGTCAGAGAAAGCAATGAGAACATAATGGAAACTTTAAAGATTGCTATTAAAATAATCATGCTTTCATCTGGTTTATATTAAAGTGCCTCCCTCGTAAAGAGTACACTGCTGTAAACTCCAAGCTCTTAAGAGCAAAATACTCAAATCACTCTTCAATAAACACTATTCCAAACACTTACTATAGATTAAAGACAACAATTAAAATTCCTGATTTATTAGATACAACCACAAACACATAGAAAAGATTTGAAATCTAGTACTTCCCCCTCTGGGAACATAAGGAAACGATTGTATTTCACTTTCTCTGTGCATCTTGTAAAGAAAACTCTGAGTGTGGTGAGACTGCTACACATGCACAGACACTCCAAATCAGAGGAGCAACCAGCAAGCTATTTTAAGAAATGCCACATGCCTTTGGGGGCTTACAGTTCCTACATTCCTTCAGTTTCAAGGGTACAAAAACTGCATCTCTTTGTAATTATTACCACAACACTTGGGATTTCAGCAGTTTGGGTTTCCAATAACCGACACATTATGGAGAGATACACCACGGCACGCTTTGTGCATTTGACAGCAGTTTGTTCCTAGTTGCTTCTGCAGTTATTCCTAAAATGTCAGTAATCTTTCCCCTCTCTGTGCAGTTACAGCTGGAAGCTAGCTGTATGACAGCAAGAAGAGTGCACCATAAAGGTAACTAGTTTTAGTCACAATTACATCAAAGGTGTGCACAAAAAGTAACACATATAACCTGCATTGTAAGCATTAAAAGTTGAGCTTTTTTTACGTTGTCATGGACTTTTACAAATAAATTACCTTTGTCACCTACAAAATCTTATACTGCCTATAACTGTTAATGTCTTATATTTGTCCTTTATTAGGAAGAACAGATTTCGAGCAATTCAGATTTGACTGGATGCTGACGTGACATTATTGACACATTAGGCTCAAAGTCTAGCTTCCTAAAGTTATCACCTGGTTGCCGTATTTCAAAATGTTCCTGTTCCGTCTTTGGTAACCCTAGGGTAAGCGTCATGATCCTTGCTATTGAATGAGACCTGACTTTGACAAAGTTGACCATGCACTACCACAAGGTTTTACTGCTTAACTGAAAAATAGCCTAAAGCATACCTATTTGAAGCAGGCTCATTTTAAGCTTGGCTTTTGCTATTCCAAATGCAATGTTCAGTCACAGATACCTTCCAAGAGAACCCTACAGAAGTTATGCCAGTGCAGAAATACAGCCAAGAGTAAGCAAGTCTTAGTAAATTGTTCAAAGATATTCACAAGTAGTCTGAAGATTATTCAATACATATATACATCTATTTTGCTATTCAGTACTAACTTGGTCAAAAAAGAGAAGCAAACCCTCTAATTTACTATACAGAAATAGATCCTTTCCTGCAATCAAAAAATAAAGCCAGAAGTTTA